GTGAATAACCTGCTTGACCTCTAAAAGCTTGTGTGCCAGCTAAAATCTCTAATTAGCCCTCATCTAACATAGGCACTGCTACACGGTTGGTTTGAGGAAAACTGTTCTTATGACGTTGGGGCTGAGGTGCGTCAGCCGGAATAACTGCAAATCTTGAGAGGGGAGCTTGACAGGCTGGCTTTCTGAAGTTGCTGAAATTGTAGAAAGTCAAAGATTTATCCTTCCAATACCCGTTACCGTGCTGGTTTTGGGAACGACTTTAGGAGCCTTTAGGGCTCTGAACCTTAATCTCCGCATCTGCAAAACGGATTAGGCGCCTGCAATTCTGAGGGCGCAGGAACACAGGGTTCGCACTCGCAGGACCCCCCCGCCCCTCCGGCGTGTGCGCAGTCATCCAGTCAGGGCCGGGCCGAAGCGGAGCCTGGACCCGGGCAGTTAGTTCGCAGGAAGTGCTGTAGGGTAGGGAGGGGAGACTGAGGGCGGAGGCGGGAATGTGAAAGCCGAGCCCTAGCAGCGGAGTTCACATGAAGCTCCGGAGAGGCGGGGCGAAACTAGGGTGAAGGGGTTAGGCAGTGGACGGGCTAGACCCGCCACCTCCCCCGAAGAGAGAGCGCTGGGTGCGGGGGACGCTCTGAAGTAAAGGCTGAGGAACGTGGGGGGAAGGGAGGAGCGAACACGCTCAGGAAAGGGGCGGGAAGCGCGCTCCCACTGCACGCATGCGTGCCCAGCTCCTCCAGCCCGATGGCCTGGGCTCCTGCCAGCGCCCCCAGCATCGACGGTGCGGACCCTGGAGCACGCTGCCGTCTTGCCGCGCAGGGACCTGCGAGGCCTGCAGCGAGGCCTTCGGGGTGGGGGGCGGACACCTGTTTCTTCAGTAGGGGTTTAAGAAGCTAGGGAAGGGAACAAGTCTATCCTTGCCTCTCCTCGTTCCCCTCCTCCACGAAGGGGGTGGGGGTCCTGGGCGTGTCGGAGCGAGTCCGCTCCGGGTTTTCCCGCCCACTTTAACTCCGTGAGCGCTTTGACCACAACGTGCCGGGACTTGTTCCGCCTCCCCCACACATCCTTCTCCAGGGTCGGAAAGTGGGCGCCCGGACTTCTTTCCTTGAGCTCCCTATGGCCGGGCCGCCACTCTCTCTCTCTTCGGGGTTCCAACTCAGGCGGCCCCTGACAGCTAGAATGCCCCTCTAATAAGGTCGCTTAGAGGGACTACTTGATGTCTCCTTGCGCCCGGTGGTGCGGCTGCGCTCAGCGCTCTTCCTGGAAACTCCCGCCTCCGGGAGCCGGGAGAGCCGGGCTGGGGGGAGGAGCGCAAGGGAGTGGGGGGGGGGGACGCGCACGCCTCCTGTCCCTGGGGAGGGCTTCGCGCCCCCGCCCTTCTCCCCGCGGGGGAGGGGAGGCGGGGGAGGGGAGGAGCGGGGGCGGAAAGGGGGGGGGGCGGCTTCCCGTCCCCCCCCACCCCTCACCCCCGCCTCCAGAACAACGGGTTCCCGCTGCTGCCCCCTGCCGCTGGTGGCGCCCGGCGCCCTGCGCCCCTGCCCGCCTCCAAAAGGGGCGTCGTGGGCGCCGCAGCCGCTGAGGCCGTGGGAACCCGAGGCGGGACATTGAAGACCTAACCGGTTTCCTGTCACAAAACTTGCAGTGACTTTAGACGAGCCTGTTGGAGCAGCGTGGTCCCAGGCAGCCGAAGTTGGCCACATTTCACTAGCCTAGCGACTTCCCTTTTACTGTACTCTAAAACGACGGGGAATAAGCTTGGGGGGGAGCTGTCGGTTGGCAAAACGAAGAGTAACACCACATTGCTCTGTTCTGACTCAAAGGAAATCAAACAAAATACTAATTGTGGGGAATTTTTAAAGGGTTACCAACAGAAGGAACTCGGGTTTTTCAAGTGATGTCTCCCCTCCCCGCGCGCGCCATGTACACAAAGATTTAAGTCATGGGAGTTGATTACAGCAGTACATGTGCTTGTAAGCTTACTTGAGTTTGTGGTTTAAAAAACCTCGTGAACTTTCCAAAAGAGAGGCGTTTGTTTTTGGATCCAACAGGAGGAAGGCAAAAAAAAAAAAAAAAAAACGCCAATTCGAAAGATCCTGAAAAAGTTCAATTAAAACAGCAACCACATTTCAACATTTCCCAGATTTTGGAGTATTAAACTGGGAGGGTCTGTGCCAGATTTGAAGGCAAGAATTCTTACTGCCAAATTACAAATTTCTCAAAATGAGGGGTGTTCAACCAAATTGCTGCCAGACCCCATAAACAGGCACTAACAGCACTGCTATAATTACACCTTATTATTTCTCTTAACAGCCTCATTTGATTCACTGCCGGATGAAATCCTCATCCCGGGTGTCTCTAACTGGTCTGTTTCTGGGGCTGAGCAATCACACACCTCCCATGCCTCAGTTCGTCCGACGTTCTGTATAATCCATTGCCCTCAATTTCATCCTCCAGACGATCTCTTCCTAAAATGCAACCCAATCAGATAGGTTATTTTCACCCCAGGCTTCCCCAGGGACTGAGAAATGAAGGTGAAAACAAACTTATCAGAACTGCAAGAAAAAAAAATCTTCTTTGAAGAAAAAGATTTAGGCCAAGAAACCAAATTTGTTATTTAATGTTGAACCCCTTAAGGGGATTTAGCATAGTGGGCTTGAATGCAGTTAAACCAGCTTAATCACTTTCTTTGTTCTGGCTCTTTGCATTTATTTAATGTACTTTAAGGAGATTTGACACAACCTAAACTGATTTCTTCTCTGTTAATGTAGTCCACACGTGAAACATACAGTATAACCAAAGATAAATTTCTGTAGAACCCTTGACATTTTTGTGAATTCTGTAGTAAACTACTATGTGACCCAAGAATTAGAAAGGGGGGGGGGAGCGGGAGTTTTGGAGGGATGGAGTGGAAAGGGAGAGGAGGTCATATTTTCATTTTTTGAAATCTAGAGATTTTAAAAGCAAAATAGTTTGGCCATGTTGAGTACTTGTTTGTTTTGTTTTGTAAGGTCTGGTAAGAGCCGCATTTACTCATTCTTGTCTGAAAGGTGATTTTTTGTTGTCTCAGTAGGGAAGGAAGAGATTATGCTGGATCTCATCTCCAGATGGATTTTTTTTTTTTTTTTTTTTTTTTTTCTCGTACCGGGGATTGAACTCGGGTCCTTGTGCTTGTGCAGCAGGTGGCAAAACCACTGAGCTAAATCCCCGGCCCCTCCAGATAGATTTTAATTCTTCTGTCCTCTCTCCCTGTTAACAATCCTATCCTGCTCTTCACCAGCCCCAGATTGAGGGGCTTTCATTCACAAGTGACTCTTGAGCCTCCTTCTGAATGTCTTCTTCCTTATAAAGCCAAAACTGCAGCAGTGCTTAATGAATCATAGCTTGTAAAGTTGCAGGCAGAAAATCCAAGTACCTGGGAGAAATAATCTTGATTTCATCCTACCTTTAAATTCTCTCACAACGTCCAGGAATAATAATAATAATAGATGTTATTTAGTATATGTGAGCCAGGCACTGTCTTCAGCCCTTTGTATGGATTAACTTCTCTCAGCAGGTCTAAGACGTGGGTACAGTTGTTGCCAGTATTTTACAGATAAGGCAGCTGAGACCTAGAGAATTGAGTAACCCAGCCTGGAAACAACAGAACTGGGATTTGAACCCAGATTGCTCCCTGATGCTTCTCATTGCCCAAAATGTTTATCAGTGTAACTGTCCAAAGAGTTAAGAGTCACCATTACAGTAGTTTACCAATATTTGCATTAAAGATATCACCTATACTGCCAACCTTATCCTAGGCCAGGTTTTTGTTTGTTTGTTTGTTTCTCTTGAACTCCAGTATACTAAAATTTGTTGCGATCTGCTCAGGGGAAGCATTCCCAAATCAGATTACTCTCTTGGAAGCCAGCCTCAAACTGTCAGCATATGCACTACAAGTACTAACTAGGACAGACATATCCAATCTCACTAGATAATAATGTTTCAGAACATACCTACTTCACATTATAAAGAAGCAAAATGGTTAGAAAGCAGTTTGGATTCTCTGATGTTGGACAAGGTAAAAACCAGGAAGTGAAAGTGGAAAGAGAGAAGGCAATGCAAGCTGAGAGAAAATAAATGTAACATATGTGTGTGTGGAGAGATCAGTACACTGCAAAAAATGAGGATCAAGGTCATGTAAAAGAGAAGTGTGTGGGTGTGTTATGACAGAACCAGAAAAGGAGCATAAACATGCAAACTGAATACATGGCAAGGGGAGGTGGTGGGGAGTCAGGGTTTATTTCTCCTCTCCATATGGAGCTTCAGAACAAGTACAATTTTAGGCTGGATTAATAGAAATACAGTATCTGGAACAAGAAAAGAAGAAGTCCCTTTTACTCTGCTAGACTACACCTAAGTAACATGTTCTTTTGAGGGATATAATAAAGAGGACAACCAATCGAAGAGGCGATGGTACTTGAAACTGGCTTATGAAGAAGAGTTGAAGAATTCACAAGTGATCCAAGAGCCATCTTGAAATACCTGATGGGCTATTGTGTAAAAAAGGAATTGGACTTGTCCTGGGAGGCTCCAAGGCTCTAGAATTGATGGGGAGGAACTTCAGAGACACAAACTGTATTTTAGCTCAGAATGTGGAAGAAGTCATGTAAATGTGAAATAAGCTGCCAAATGTGACAGGTTTCGCTTCACAGGAGGCATTCAAAGTACACATTGTCACTGGCCTATATGATGTTTAGGGTGCCTTTCATCCTTTACCATTCACTTGGACACAGTAAAAAGGGGGAAACAGTATAACCTACCTCATTAGGTTGTTAGAAAGCACTTAGCATGGTGATAGTACTCTAAAAGTCAGCAGATAATAACATCCCCAAAGAGCCTCGGTTTGATATTTTTAAATTTATCAATGGGCAATTTTTTAATCTTTTGTGTATAGATTGATTTTTTTTTTTTTGTACCAGGATTGAACTTGGGACCTTGTGCTTGCAAGGCAGGTGACAGCACCACTGAGCCAAATCCCCAGCCCTATAGATTTTTTTTGTAAGAGCAAAATAACTTTATTTGGGGCCTGAGAATTGCAATTTAGGAAAACATTCAGACAGTTTTAAGTAAGTACTCACTGCATCACTTTTTTGACATCATTAATATTACCCTCAATAGTAGCTTTGGTAGCCTTAAGATCTCCTTGTGCACCTAAAATTCAGTTAGTAGTGTTAAGGGAACGATGTTGTAATTTTTATACCACCTGGATTTTAAAAATCAAATTGTAGCACCACACTGCCATTCCAAAGGCCAGCAACGTGGGGTGACTGTAGGAAGAGTGGAGAAAATAATGAAAGTCTGGTGGACTGAAGGAGAATGCAAGCAGTGCAGAATAATATTGACAGTTGAAAAGCAATAGCAGTTGACAGAATATCTTTCCTTGTTCTAGATACTGTATTGTTATTAATCCAGCCAGGCATGGTGGCAAATGCCTATAATCCCAACATTCTTCAAGGCTCAGGAAGGAGGATTGAAAAGTTCCAGGCTGGGCATGATGGTGCACACCTGTGATCCCAGCACTTGGGAAGCTAAGGCAGGAGGATCGCTGTGAGTTCAAGGCCAGCCTGGGCTACATAGTGAATTGAAGGCCAACTTAGAGATTT